AGACAATGCAATAATACTACCTTACTTCAATAATTGTAAGCATACCTAGGAAAATATCAAAAAGGAAATAAAAACCAACACTTTACCTACACTTATAACAGGCTTGTACAGAATTCTCTTAAACAGCACCGGTAACAACAAAGTATAGAATATTTTGGAACAATAACAAAGTACATATAGAACATTAAAGTAGGCCATATTCCATACCGTAAAAAAGTCAATAAATTTAAGTAGTTTAAAACATTAAGAAATGTGTCTCTTACTGAGTACAGGGTAATAAAAGTAGAAATCAATAACAAATAGGAATGTGTAGTCCTTACAGATGCAGATTCAATAATACATCCCCAAATTGAAAAAGAAAATGTGTCAAAGAAGACGACCAGAAAATAATTTAGTGAGAGAATATGAACATAAGTCTTAAACCTTTGAGGTGCTGCTAAGGCCGTGCTTAAGGGCACATGTCTACTGTAATCGCCCAAGTTTAAGAGAAGTAAAGTTCCATAGTCAGTAACTCAACTCTTTACATTTAGCCATTGCAGAAGGAAGAGCCAACTAACTCAAAGCAAAGAGAAGAGAGGTAAATAATAAATGCCAGAAGAAAATTCAGCAGAGACCTTGCAGATAATAGAGAAATATCAATAAAAGCAAAAGTGGTCTTTGAAAAGAAAAACTAATTAATAAGCTTTTAACTAAACCAAGCATTTTTTTCTTTTAAGGCATAAATCAGGAGTGATATAGAGGATATGACTTCTGAATTAAAACGAATTATAAGGTAATTCAACTAAGTAAAAACATACAGTTTACTGGGTGTTAAGGTAACTTAAATACCCAGCCAAGGATAGTGGCCCATGGCTATAATCCCAATACTCAGGAAGCTGAGGCAGTAGGATTGTAAGGTTGAGGTTAGCCCAGGCAATTTAATGATACCTTGTGCTAAAAAAGCAAGCAAACAAACAAATTAGGAAGGAAGTAAAGAATCCCCAGAATGATTCAGTATACTTGAATTGCCTCAAGAAGAAACACTTTCCATAATTGTTATTGGTGAAGATCTCAAGGAAATGGAGGCATGCTAGAAGAGAATTCAAGGTCCAAGCGTCTTCATGGGTGAATGTAACTAAACATTTAAAGAAGACTTAATACCAAATATTTCATAAAATTGTCCAAAATAGAAAACACTTCCCAACTTGACCTCTGAGGCCACTATTATCTTAGTGTATAAACCAGACAAAAACATCACAAGAAAACATGAACATCTCTTATGACCTCTGAGGCCACTATTATCTTAGTGTATAAACCAGACAAAAACATCACGAGAAAACATGAACATCTCTTATGACCTCTGAGGCCACTATTATCTTAGTGTATAAACCAGACAAAAACATCACGAGAAAACATGAACATCTCTTATGAGTAAAGTTCAAAGTTACTCAACAAGATTCTACTAAACAATTCAGGAATATGTAAGAAGGGTTATATAGCACTACTAAGCAGGGTTAGTTCTAGTAATATAAGACTGTCTTAAAAGCCGAGATCCAACTTAGCATGTCAGTAGAAAAAAGAACTATATGATCTTCTTAGTAAACACAGAAAAAGCATTGGCTGCAACTCAGCATTCATTTTTGATGGAAAACACTGACTAAAAGAATCACTTCTTTTCAACGGGATGAAAGTGTATATGAAAGCAAAGCAAATCACATGGAACATAGTATGTAGTAATAAAAGACGAAATGCTTCACTCCTGAAATCAAATGTGGGATGAATATCGATGATTACACCTCATTCAACAGTGTAGGCTGCGAAAGGTCACAAAAGGCCTATAGATTGCAAAGTAGGAAGAAAAACTTTTTTTTTTGATCAAGGCTCAGTGCTTTAATGTTCAGCTGTCAATTTAAAGGGAATGACTCCGTCCGAACCCTTCCTTGTTTCAGCTGGAGATGAGTGGGATAATTCGTTCTTGGTCAGGGTCAGGAAGAAAAACTTAAGATGACATGATTGGATAGAGCCCTAAGGAATCCATGAAATCCATTAGGATCAATAAAGAAGTTAAGCAGAGTTGCATAAAATAGAGCAGCATACAACTAAGTTTTGATATTCTTCCTTTTTTCTTTTTTAAAAATACATATATCTTTATATAATATATAATTTATATCTTTATATATTTATGTATTGAGCACAGAAGATAAAGTGACTGAATTGAACATTTGAGACTATGTGAGAATTCACTCTTCCATGTGTAGTTGTATATTTCTGTTCCATGACAGTGGAGATTCAGGCTTAAGTAAATAACTACCTAAAAATAGAAAAATCCATTGTTCATTTGTAGGAATGTTGTGTTCCTTTACAATTAACTTTGTGTTCATGTACATTAAAAATATCTTAGTATAATACAGAAGAAGCCTTAGAAAGGGAATGTTATTTATGGTTAGTACTCTGATGAAACATGAATTCAATTTTTTCTGGATAGCTATATGATAAAGTATGAAATTGAGCCATACCTCATAACATAAACAAAAGTGAACTCTAAACTAAATGGATTAAAGACTAAAGGTAAGAATCTTAAGAGACTATAATTGCTGTAAAAGTCTTAGACAAAAACAATAGCAAATATTTGTGGCATTGAATCTTGTAATAATTTCTTACACGTGGCATCAGAACCTCAAGTAACAAAAGTTAGATAAACTAGAATTTCTGGGGTTTGGGGACAATTAAATTGATTAGAGGCTATACAACTCTGAATAAAAAAACAAAATCATTGAATTTTATACCCACCTTGAAGTGAGTAAATTCATGATGTGTAAAGTATCTCAAGAAACAAAGCCGCCAGTGAACGTTACTTTCATGTGTGCTTCACAGCAAAACATGTAGAGATGTGCAGTGGGTCCTTTAAACATGCTAATGAACACTACATGTTCAGGAAATGACAGCTGAAACTATAATGAATGTGCTACGTGCCCAACAGAACCAAGATGAGGGGAGGTAACTGCTCAGCCTCTGTGGAGTCTCGCCAGCTTCTACTTGTCTGCTGCTGACTACAGCACTTACCATAGCTTCTGCTGTAAAATTCCTTGGGCTGCCTTGGTTTCCACTTTACCACTGTAAAAAACCTGAATGAATGGATAGTTGCCTGTAACATATGTAATGTATACATGTAAACATACTAGTTTTTATGAATGTCTAAACAGTCTATCCCAGAAGTAAGAAAATAGGTAACTTGATTTATTAAGCTTGTCTTCTTGGATTTCTAGGTTTTTTTCTCTTGAGTCTCCCCAGCAATGGAAAAACACTTCCTATATCCCAAGCAACAGTAATTCACAAATAGCTATTGGCTCTGTTTAATAGAAAATTGGGGATTAAAGGGACTTAATTTGCTCACAACAGGGCAACAGTAGAACACTGTCTATTTTGGGTCTCTCAGTTACGAATCTCTCATTCCTCTGAATGTGTCACATTGCCTCTGAGACAGGAGTGTGTTAGAGGTGTTTTGTTTTGCTTTACACTGGACTGTCCTTTGGTTTTAATAATTGTTTTCAGAGGGGAACCATCATTGGAGGTTGGTAATTTTATGATAAGAGAACATAATGGGGTAAGGAATATGAATAAAGTTCATGATATATAAAAAGATGTCAGAATGAAACCCACTGTCTTATATGCTGACTAAAATAACAGAAAACAAAGATATACATACAAAACAGCAGTAAAAATAATTTTTTCTTAAATTAAAAAAGTATCTATTGAGTGCTGCATGCAGGCATTTGTCGTGACATAGTGTGGTGACTGTATTGGTCTTGATGCTTAAAACTGCAGTGTAACAGAGAAAGGAGTACAGCCAAGACTGGGAACACAGGAAGATAAGTACATTGGTAACAAAGTCTTTAATAATATGGTGATGCCATGAGGAAGAGGTTGGCTCTGTTGAACTTGAGCACAGAAGATAAAGTGACTGAATTGAACATTTGAGACTATGTGAGAATTTACCCTTCCATATGTAGGTATATATTTCTGTGTTATGATGATGGAAATTTAGGCTTAAGTAAATAACTACTTACAATAGAAGAATCCATTGTTCATTTGTAGGAATTTATATTCCTGTGTAATTAACTTTGTGTTCATCTACATTTAAAACAGCTTAGTAAAGTACAGAAGCCTTAGAAAGGGAGTGTTCTTTGCAGTTAGTCTCTGATGAAATTAGAGATCAGTTTTTCCTTTAAGAAAGATTATTTTCTTGCATGATTTTAAACGTTTTATAATAATAATAATAATCTGTTGTTACCTAAATTCATCCACTTCAGTTTTTCAAGTAATATCAGTGTTTCTTTTCCTTCAGTGAGGCAACCTTGCTTCTTAACCTCAGCCATTTTGCCTCCTTTTCCACCCGTGTGATAAATAGGGCAGATTGAAGAGAAACGGAATCTCTGGGGTTTGAAGACGGAGGCACCCATGCTGTGCTTCTTTGCCTCATATTTCTTTTTAGTCCATGCCATATGGAGCTGTGAGACCACTACCTGCTAAATGTACTAACAGTACATTCTTTCAAATGTGTGTAGACAATTATGAGAAATATGGAATCTATCTACAAGTCTTAACACTAATGATTGGCAGCCATTGCATGGAACAAGATAGGATTTTGCTTGTCTTCTTTTGGGGATCTGTGTGGGGTTTTTCAGGGGCGGGTTTAGTTGTCAAATGGCTGATACTTGACGCTTTACAATAAATTACACACTGGTGGCAGAGGACTTGGAAAAGTATTCTTAAATCTGTGTGACTTTTATGTCATAGTTTTAATGGCAGTACTCCTTGCACATTGATTTGGCTAGGTTAGGATGATCATTGTTTTAGGAAATTGTGTGACAATATGAAACTAATATTACTTTCTATGAAACTGTCATATACTGAGAGTTATGCAAAAATAAACTAATGGTTAGCCCAGCGTGATTAAAAGGAGTTATTTCCTTTCATTTATGAATGCAAGTCAAAGAAAGAAAAATATATTTCGTTTTTAGATTATATAAATGGTGGAGAACTTTTTACTCATCTTTCTCAAAGAGAGCGTTTCACAGAGCACGAGGTGCAGATCTATGTTGGAGAGATCGTGCTTGCCCTGGAACACCTGCACAAGGTAAGGCGCTTGCTTCGTCTCTGCAGTTTCCTTTTGACCAGTCTGTTCACAGAGGTGTTGATGGAGCTAAACAGTGGATGTGCTCACATGTGGTCTGGGCTTGGGAATGTTAGTCACTGTTTCCTCAGTTCCACAGTTCCTTTCTAAGCAGATTTACCTTTTGCTGGGCTTGGGATGGTATGCCTACAATCTCAGCACGTGGGAGGCTAGGGGTCGGGGCATCATGATTTGAAGCCAAGCTGAGTTACAAAGTGAGACCCCAACTCAATAAATAAACAGAAAATAAATAAATTCTTGTCTATTGTGTTTTGAAACATAAAAAAATAACAAAACAAACAAAAGAACTTGAGCTTTTTTTCTTATCATGTGTCTTTATGAAAAAAATCCCAGTACTTTCATCAGGGAAAAAAAGGTCTTTGGTTTTTAAAATGAAGCCCAAGCTATACAATGTATTTCCTTAACTGTGACTTGCTCCATGGCACTGTGCCGTCTGTGTGTACTCAGAAGGCACCCCCTGGCTTGGCTGCTGGTTCGGAGGGATTCCCTGCCACCATGTTAACTTACTCTGCACCTGCCCTGCCCTGCTCCTCCTCACTGCCTCCGTGTGACATGAGCTCAGATACTGAAGCTTTTACAGTATCTTTGATTCTCTTGGAAGTCTGTACAGTCAGTTTCAACTCCATGATACTCAACCTTTGGTCCATGAAATTTTGTCTTAAGTTAATTGGAGAAGTAGGTGGTTTCTGTGTTGCCTCAGTGTGTATGGTTTTCTTCAGAAATGGAAAATGCTAAAGTAATTTATATCAAAGGTGTACAATTTCATAAAGGAACAATATGATTTGAGACACTAAATTTTAACAGTTCAGGTATATCCTAAAGCCACTCTTTGTCACGTCTGTCATCCCTCCATTAGTTAAGATGAACAAATTAAAGTATAAATTTGTAGCATAGAAAACAGTGGTAAGAAAGAACAACAGGGAAGACATCTTGAAGGTACAGGGAGGTTTGATCAAAATTGAGTCAGGGATGGAGATAGTAGATGGGAGAGACTGCGAAAAGATTCTGAAAGGTACTTAAAAAAAAAAAAGGAAGGAGTCCAGCAATGGCTGATCCAACTCAGAACAGAACAAGACTAGACAGGTAGAGGGGGACAGAATCATAATCTTTAGAAAATTCAGCACCTGGGAGCTTCAGGGATGAGGATTGTGAGTTTGAGGTTATCCTGGTTTTATGGAGTCAGATCCTGTCTCAAATGAAGAGAGAATAAAATTGTGTGAGGAGCAAGGAGAAAAAGGACCTGGCAGTGGGGAGGAAGGACAGCAGGGACAACAAATGACCGTTCTGGGCTTCTTTTGATAGAATTTTCACTGTGGTGACAAGCTTCATGGCTGTGCTTATTTTTGGGTGATATGATTTAACTTAAACATTTTTATATCAGAAATATTACTATAACACAAACACTTTTGTAGCTTATAATTAGGTATAATGTTTTATAATATAAAAATGACAATAAAACTCAACGTAAGCAAATCAGAAAGCCATACAGGCAAGCTAGAAAACAGTCTATAAATTATATACTTTAATTGATTCATTTTATTTACTAAAGGAAGATCCCATATCACTCACTATTACTAAATTATGATAAAAACATGGATGTCGATAACATAATGGAACTTGGAATAAATGTGATAGATACGCAATGAAAGCAGCATAGCAAACAAGTTTTAGGCTGTCTTACCCTAAAAAGACAGTCAAAGGCAAAGTCAGCAATGCTAATCTTGATAGAGATGCAAATACTAAGCCTTACAGGAAGAGAGAAAGTGCACATTTATTTGGAATGATGAAGTCAGGTAGACTACATACGTTGTTTCTAAAAATCCTTTCCAAAGAGTGAGATGTGATGTGCTGCTGGCTAGATGTATGCAATGCTTGGAGTCCAGTGTCTGTTCAGTGCATGCTGTGTTTTCCTTCCTGTCTTTCCCAGAAACCACTTTAGCGCTCATAGGAAAATTTCCTGCTGATTTTTGTTCTTGTTTTTGCTTGAGGGGGGTTGTTTTTGAGTTTTGATGAGGGAGGTATAATTTTTATTTCAGTTTTGAGAGATTATTAGAAATCTGTGTTTTCCTGTGTTTAATACTGAGGAAAGCAATATTTCAAAGTATCAAAACATTTAATCCATGCGGATATAACTGACAACGTGAAGTAGACAATCAAAGTGGATCAGTCAGTCACGTCTTAGTTACATTTTACAGTTGAAACGTTTTACGATGCTGCTTATATGAGAAACAAGGAGGCTTACAGTCCTGAACTGTATAACATTTTCACTCAGTGATGGGCCAGCCATGACTGGGATCCCCATAGGATTGTAATGGAACTTAAAATTTCCTGTCAATTAGTGGCTGTCAAAATGCTATATTTGATTCCATCCCTGTTTATGTGAGGCTGCTATAAAGAAACCTGCTATTGTCCCATTCATATAATAATGCAGCCCATGTATGTCATTACGTACAGCAGAGTAGAACCCGATAATGGTCAGTAGCTGACCATGCTTCTGACTTATGTAGTTAGTGTATATTTAACCATCATCTTAGCAGGTTCCCTGTAAGACAGTCTCTGTGTACACTGGCTGCAGCTTTATACATCTCATGTTTATTACTCTGTGGTCCTTCTTGCTTGATTTGTCCATGTGTTTTATTCTCTGTGGCCTCAGGAGGAATAGGATTTTTTTCACTACACTATCAAGGTTTGTGTAAATACTCTCCATGATGCTTTCACAGTCAAAATCACCTAACGGCATATTTTCCAGAACATTTCCTTGTCATAAAGCAGTGCATGACTGACTGTATAAATGTTATTTAACAATTTTTTTGTTGATTTATAACTAAACATCAAAATTAACCTGTGCTCTTTAACCTTTATGTTTAAGAGCTTATTGTCAAAAAGCCTTTATTAATTGCCTGTCTAATACATTGCATTATACAGGATACCAGATAAGTGTATAAAATCTGAAAAAGCAGACAATTCAGATATAATAGGATAAATAGTAAATCCCTAAGAAATATATGTACAGGTAAGTACACTGTTTGGAAACAAAGAAATGGTCAGCATAGGGTATAGCTCTTTAGGAAGGCTTGCTAAAGCCATTGCAGAGCTGTGGACAAGAATTGTCCAAGAATGCCCACGAAGATGATTTTGAATGAGTGTGAAATAAGGAGAAGAGAGACAGAAAAAAACAATAGTCAACAAAGAGACGCTGAAGAAGCTGGTCCCAGGGATAGACCCTCATCACAGAGAGGACTAAGATACATTTGGAGAGCTTGGGGAAAGCCAGCACCTGAACCCCAAGATGGAGCATTTGCTTGCAGAATTGCTAAGAGCCACAGAATCCTGAAGAGGAACCTCCTTAAAGGTAGATAAATGCTGTCTTAATTCATTTGGAGAGTATCTTAAAATGCATTTTGTTTTGTTTTCTTTTTACAGTTGGGGATTATATACCGTGACATTAAGCTGGAAAATATTCTGCTTGATTCTAATGGCCATGTGGTGCTGACAGATTTTGGTCTGAGTAAGGAGTTTGTGGCTGATGAAGTGAGTATTATATTTTAATTTGAAGTTTGTAAACAAGGATGAAAGATTCATTACCAGTAAACATTTAATAGGACAGTAGTATTGTATGGGTTACTTGATTTACAAGGTTTTTGTGCAGGCTTATTCAAATCTGAAACTGCTTGAGTGCCAGCTTAGTATCACAAATGAAAGACATCATACCTGTCATGCTGTGATGTGTCAAAGTCAAAGCATAGGCACACAACATAGTTTATCCAGTGTCCCTCAGGGACAAGAGTCTCTGTCAGTTGTGGTACATCTTTTGCATGAATGCCAGGTTCCCTAGTGCAGGCCCCTGACCCACAGAGGATAGTAAGGTCAGCCATACGCAGCCTCAGGCACAAGAACAGGTTCCTGACACTTTCAGCCAAAGCCTGTGTGCATTAATTACTCAGTTTATTTTTATTTTAGTGTTGGCATGTTCTTTGTGGTGTGGTATAACGATCCACTGGGAGTCTCAGAAGGGGCTGCAGACCCTTGTGTAGTATAATGATAAGAAAAAGAGGAAGTCTTTATGTTTATTTCCAGAGCAGAAGGTCAGGCTACTGCAGACGCTGCACAGCAGTGCTAATGTGAATGGCTCATTGAAGAGGATTGTGTGGGAATGTCCCCTGTATCAAACTTGAGGAAACAGAAGGAGGACCTGTTAACATTTAAAGCAATGAGTAGAAGTTAATGGAAAATAGGGGAATGTTCAGCAAGGTCCTTATGAATAGAGGTACCAGCTACCAAGCCTGAGTTTGATCCCCAGGGCTCACAGAGTGGAAGGAGGGAGTCAACTCCCTCACATTGTCCTCTGACTTACACACACACACACACACACACAGAGAGAGAGAGAGAGAGAGAGAGAGAGAGAGAGAGAGAGGTACACACACACACACACAGAGGAGGGGGAGAAGAGGTACACAGACACACAAGATTTAAAAAATAATTAAAGGGTAGCTCCATTAGTGTCACAGTGAACTCAAGACACTTCATGGTGTGATGATTGTAAGCTAGCAGTATTGTATTGTGGTGAACTAAATCTGAAAGTAAGGGACAGGCCACTGAGAGTTTGAGTAGACTCACTCCTGTGAGTCTGTACATAACACAAGTTGGACCTTTTTTTTTTTTTTTTTTGGCTGGGAGTGGGTCACGGGGGGACAGAGAAGGACTGGGAAGTGAATGTGATCGGGGTGTATGATTGAAAATCTTCAAAACATCAATAAAAATATTATGTTAGAAAAGATTTATAGTTATAGCTAGGCCTGGTTGGTGGCTTAGACTTATAATCCCATCTCCTTGGGAGGCTGAGGCAGGAGGATGTCAGGTTCAAGGCCTGGCTAGACAACAAAGTGACCACAAGAGCAGCCCAGGCAACTTACTGTTGGCCTTAGTCTCAAAGTATAAAGTAAATGGGATGGAAGATGCAGCTCTGAGGTAGAGTGCCTGTCTAGTGTGTGCGAAGACCTGTAATTGATCCTAGTGTGATGGACTAATGGATGGTAGGGATAGAAAAGACAGACAGACAGATAATTATTACAACATAGCTTCCTAATGTAAAGCAGCAGAAAACTTCATCACACACTTGCCAGGGTCAGCACTGAAAGAAAGCTGACGCCTGAATAAGTCTTTAATGCTGATGAAAGGTCTCCCTTTGGCATTGTTGCCCAGGAAGTCAGTGGCCACAGATGACACAACTGCCAAAGGAATTGAAATGGCCACAAATAGAGTAAATCTGGGGGGTGGCATGTTGCACAGATTGCAAGCTTATAGTAGGAGAAGGCTATGTCCTTGTGCTGTTTTTGGAGATGAATTTCTTACCAGTCCTTTACTGTACTAGCAAGAAAGCTGGATCACTAGAGACCTCTTTTTTTAAAAAAAAATTCACTTTTTTTCTTGTACCAGCACCCAATGGGTATTTTAGGGTAGCCCTAGATCATAGAGAAGTAAGTGTTAAAATACTTGCTTGAATGGCCTGCTAGCACAGTGAACAGAGGCATGGGATAGATCCACTACCTTTGATGTATCTTCTCACCAAAACTTACAATACAGGGTCTAGTGACCTTTAAACCTCCTAGCAGCCAGCCCAGGGGTTCTGGACAAGCCATTGGGCTGTATGATTTTTTTTCTGCATTAAGGGAATGACATATATTTAGTATAAAATACATACTTGTGAATATAAAAGAGTGATTCTTTAGTGGTTATATATAAACTTAGAACCAGTAATGAAGGTGACATCAAACAATCACTTGGGCAGCTGAATGAGTGATAACTCTAGCTTTCTGATGGATCAGTGTGTATCAACTTTTCTTCCTGCAGAAAATCTCTCTTATATGTGTGTGCACGCACACATACACACTGTATATAAAACCTAAATAAATCCCCCAGTTAGAATTATGTCTTATTCAAGATATCATTTTTCTTATTGCATATACATTTTTAAAATTTATTTTTTTTTATTATTTTATTTTTTTACAGTCCAATCTTTGTCCCCCTCCCAGTCCACCCTCCCACAGTTCCTCATCCTGTTCCTTCTCTCCCTGTCTCCAAGAAGATGCCACATACTCTTTCCCCTCACCACCCCCCCCCCCCCCCCCACCGGCCAGGCTTCCTCACTCCCTGGGGGCCTCAAGTCTCTCAAGGGTTAGGGGTGTCTTCTCCTAGTGAGACCAAACCAGGCAGTCCTCTGCTGTATAAGTGTTGGGGGTAAGGGCTCAGATCGGCTAGTGTATGGTGCCTGGTTGGTGGCTCGGTGTCTGAGAGATCTCAGGGGTTAGTTGAGACTGCTGGTCTTCCTATGGGGTAGCCCTGACTCCAATCCAATGGTTGGGTTTAAGTATTGGCTTCTGTCTCAGTCAGCTGCTTATTGAGCCTCTAGGAGGACAGCCATGCTAAGCTTCTTTCTGTAAGCATACCATAGCATCAGGAATAGTGTCAGGCCTTAGAACCTCCCCTTGAGATGGATCCCAACTTGGGCCGGTCACTGGACTGCCCTTCCCTCAAGTCTCTTCTCTGGTTTTGTCTCTACAGTTCTTTTAGACAGTAACAGTCCTGGGTCAGAGTTTTTGACTGTAGGATGCCAACTCCGTCTTTCCACTGTTGGGCATTTCATCTAAGTCCTCAGAGTTTCTCACCTCCCAGGTCTCTCATACTTTTAGAAGATCGCCCAACTTCCCCCACCCCAGGTTGCTTATTTCCATTCATTCTGCTAGCCCTCGGGGCTTCTCTCCTGCCCACCCACCCCCATTCCATACCTAATTATGTTCCTCTCTTTCCCTCCCCTTCCCATCTTCCACTAGGATCCCTCCCTCCCTTCCTTTGCCTCACATGATTGTTTTCTTCTCCCTTCCAAGATGGATTGAAGCCTCCCCCTTGGGCCCTTCTGCTTGTTAAGCTTCTTGAGTTCTGTAGATTGTATCCTGGGTATTCTGTACTTTTTGGGCTAAAATCTACTTAGTGAGTACATACGATGCATGTCCTTCTGGATCTAAGTAACCTCACTCAGGATGATATTGTCTAGTTCCATCCACTTGCCTACTGTCCTCATTCTTAATAGCTGAATAGTACTCCATTGTGTAAATGAACTACATTTTCTGTATCCAGTCCTCTGTTGTGGGACATTTGGGTTGTTTCCAGCTTCTGGATATCACAGATAAGGCCTCTATGAACATAGTGGTGATATGGTGGGGCATATTTTGGGTATATGCCCAAGAGTGGTATAGTTGGGTCTTCAGGTAGATCTATTTCCAATTTTCTGAGGAACCTCCAGATTGATTTCCAGAGTGGTTGTACCAGTTTGCAATCCCACCAGTAATGGAGGAGTGTTCCTCCTTTTCCACATTTTCACCTAGATGAAATGGATGATTTTCTAGATAGATACCATGAACCAAAGTTAAATCAAGAGCAGGTAAACTATCGAAACAGGCCTTTTCCCCCTAAGGAAATAGAAGAAGTCATTAAAAGTCTCCCAACCAAAAAAAGCCCAGGGCCAGATGACTTTAGTGCAGCATTCTACCAGACCTTCAAAGAAGAGCTAATACCAGCACTCCTCAAACTATTCCATAAAATAGAAACAGAAGGAACACTACCTAATTCATTCTATGAAGCTACAATTTCTCTGATACCTAGACCATACAAAGACTCAACAAAGAAAGAAAACTTCAGATCTGTTTTGCTTATGAATATTGATGCAATAATACTCAATAAAATTCTAGTAAGCCAAATCCAAGAACATATCAAAACCATCATTCACCCCAATCAAGTAGGCTTTATCCCAGAGATGCAAGATTGGTTCAGTACTATAAAAATCCATTAATATGGGCAGACGCCGGCCGAGGCTGCTAGCTTCCGGATGCCAGGGTTCTTTGAGGCTCCAGTCAGCTGCGTGGGTCTGCGCCAGTGGCTTCCGGAGCGAGGGCTGCCAATTGAGGCCTCGCTGCTCCTGTCCTGTGGAGAAACTGAATCCTGAGTCATCCAGGAGCCACTGCACTCAGAGCAGCTGGAGCCACTGCACTCAGAGCAGCTGAAACTGAATCCTGAGTCATCGAGGACCCAATGCACTCAGAGCAGAAGGATTTCCAGATCCAAGAGGTGGCCTGAGTCCCAGGAGTTATTCCACCCAGGAGATTAGGAGCATAAGACCACAGAGACCTCTGGACTCTGAGGAGCTCTGCAATAAGCAAGATAACTGGAAATACAGACTCCAGTTTTACACAGTGAGGGCAGGTACCACTAGAGTTAACCAGATGGCGAAAGGCAAGCGCAAGAACATAAGCAACGGAAATCAAAGTTTCTTGGCATCATCAGTGCCCAATTCTCCCAATATAGCAAGCCCTGAACACCCCATCACACCTGAAAAGCAGGATTCAGAATTAAAATCACTTCTCATGATGATGATAGAGGATTATAAGAAGGAATTAAGTAACTCCCTTAAAGAAATACAGGAGAGTACAATTAAACAGATAGAAGCCCTTAAAGAGGAATCACAGAAATCCCTTAAA